TCGGGCTGGCCCGAGTAGGACGCCCGGATCATGAGCAGGTCGACGTCAGCCAAGGCCATCAGCAGGTGCTCGCGGGTGGCGTCGCGCCCGTCTGCCCGGCGCCAGGCGCTCTGCGGGCACAGGGCGGTGACCGTGGTGTCCCCAGCCCCAGCCCGGGGTTGGGAACACCCCAACACCCACCCCCCTCAGGTCCTCACCTCGCGGAAGGGCACAGTGATGGTGGTGGGGACACCGCTGGGGACGCTGGCCCCGCTGAAGTGCTCCAGAAAGATGCCATTGCCCTGCAGCAGCACATCGGGCTGGGGGGACAGGGCCTGGGCACCCGCCCCTGCCCGGTGCGTCACCCGGTACCGCAGCTCCCCGCCGTACGACGTCACCTGCCGGGGTGGCACATGGCAAAGCTCAGCCAGGCACAGCAACCCTGACTGTGTCCCCCCGTGACTGTCCCCAGTGCTGTCACCTTGTCCCCAGTGAAGGGCGCAGGCAGCACCCAGTAGTAGACGTCACGGGGCAGCGCGGAGAAGGTGTCGAAGAGCAGCTCCCGCGGGGAGGAGAAGTGGGCGCCAGTGCCCACCGACTGGGTGCCCGCCAGGTTGGCCAAGCCCAGAGGGGAGGAGTCCTCAGCTGTCAGCTGGACCTGCAGGGACAGCAGGGAGGGCTGGTGGGGACACGGCAGGGCAGGACAGGGTATGGCACTACATGGCAGCGCGTGGCACAGCGCGGCACTAATGGCACTACAGAGCATGGCACAATGTGACACGGGACAGCATGACATGGTACAAGCAAGGCTTGGTGGGGCATGGCACAGCATTGCATGGCATGGGACAGCGTGGCACTACCTGGCACAGTATGGCATGGCACGGCATGGCCCAGCATGGCCCAACATGGCACTAAGTGGCCCAACCTAGTGTTATATCACATGGTGTGGCACTACAAGGCACAACATGGCCCAGCATGGAACTACAGCACATGGTATGGCTCAACATGCCACAGCACGGCCCAGCATGGCACTACATGGCCCAGCATGGCACTACATGGCACTACATGGCATAACATGGCACTACATGGCCCAGCATGGCACTACATGGCCCAGCATGGCACTACATGGCCCAGCATGGCACTACATGGCCCAGCATGGCACTACATGGCCCAGCATGGCACTACATGGCCCAGCATGGCACTACA